ACTCTATGCGTACCTTTAATCCCAGCACTCGGGAGGCAGAGCCAGGCAGATCTCTGTGAGTTCGAGGCCAGCCTGGTCTACAGAGTGAGATCCAGGACAGGCACCAAAACAACACAGAGAAATCCTGTCTCGAAAACCAAAACAAACAAACAAAAAAAAGTGGGGGGTGGAGGTTGGGGCCTGAGAGAGTGGCGTGGTGGAGCACACCTTTAATCCCAGTACAGGGCGAAGGGACAGAAAGATCGCCACAGGATGAAGACCCGCCTGGCTACGCACTGAGCCCCAGGCCAAGAAGAGCTACATAGCAGGACGCCATCTTAACCACTTTCCTCCAAGCAAAGAAAAGAGAGGGAAAACAATTTGGGCAAAAAAAAAAAAACAACCCAAAAAACAAAAAAACAAGCTGGAGAGGAAAGTCCCTGGAAGTTCATGCTGAGAGGGGATGGAGGGGACACTAGCTTTTTGTTTGAAAACAAGGTTTTCCTGTGTTGCCCTGGTTGTCCGGAAACTCTTTAGACCAGGCTAGCCTTAAACTCACAGAGCTCTCCCTGCCTCTGCCCCCGCCCCCCACCCTGCCCCCCAGAGTGCTGGGATTAAAGGCGTGTGCCACCATCACCCTAGCTACGCTAGCTTTTTAATGTGGAAATATCTAAAATAAATGCCACCAGTTTTCACCTTTGCTTTGGCGAGCCTTAGCACCCAGGGGAGACTGTTCTGAAGTGAGGGTGAGGAATGGCCATGTGTGACTGTGGTCACACGCTGGGGACCTAACTCAGGGAGGGAGAAGAAGGAACTCAAGCTTGGCTTTGTTCACAAGGCTGAGTACAGGGCTTAGAGAGAGCACTGTCTCGGGGTTGGCCCGAGCTGGGAAGGACTCAGGATTGGAGACAGGTTTTCGAGCTATCAGGAAGTGGGTACTCAGGGCCAGCAGGGTGCTCCCTCATCAGGGAAAGGCATTTGCAAAGCTTTACCACCTGCGTTTGACCCGGGAGGCCCACGTGGGGGAGGAGAGCGTGGTCTCTGACCTCCACATGCACTCTGGCGTATGCTCCTCCAATGTGTAATTACAATTTAGGAAGAAAAAAAAAAAGTGAGTGTTTTGCCTGCGTGTATGCAAATGCATCACCCGCTTGCAGGGCCTGATAAGGCCAACAGAGGGTGTCAGGTCCCCTGAGGTACAGATGGTCATGAGCCACCATGTGGAGGCTGCAAACCAAATCCAGGTTCTCTGCAAGGGAAGCCAGCACTCTTAAACACTGAGCCGTCTCTCCATCCTCCAATAAATGTAATATTTTGTTTACTTCTTTTATTTTTTGAGGCAGATCTCTCTCTATAACCCTAGCTGTCCTGGAACTCACCATGTAGACCAGGCTGGCTTCAAACTCACAGAGCTCCATTTGCCTCTGCCTCCTGAGTGCTGGGATTAAAGGCATGCGCCACCACTGCACCTAGCTAATAAGTGTAAATTTTAATAGAGTAAAAAGAAGGTGATCACCAAAGCCAGAGAATAAATAAAATGGCCTGCGAGTGATAGAACACAGCACCGGAGATGTTGGCCGTCCTGAGACTGTGTAGGGCAAGCCGTAAAAAGAGAGGGCTGGGGTGGGGAAGAGGCAAAGGGTGATGAAGATGCCTGAGGAGGAAGGTCTAACGTTCAAGTTCTGCCTAAGTTAAGAAGGAGTTAAAGGCCAGCCAGAGCAACCTAATGAGACTCTGTCTCCAGGAGAAAAAAACAACATAAAAAATGGGTAAGAAAGTCAGGGGATCCAGCTGAGTGAGAGAGTTAGCCAGGACTACCAAAACAATGTAAGTCAGTCATCCACAAATGTCTCAGTTGGAAAAGAAAGCCTCTCCTTCGTGGTGGCACTTGAGAAGCAGGGGCGCTGGATTTCTGAGTTCAAGGCCAGCCTAATCTACACGGTGAGAACCCATCTCAAAGCAACAAGCAAACTGAAAACCAACTAAACAGTTTGAGAGACTGGGTTACAGCTCGCTGGTAGACTGTCTGACATCTACAAGGCAGAGCCTGAAAACCAGTTTTTATTTCATCAAAAATATCTTTAAAGCCCATGGTGGTGGCATATACCTTTAATCCTAGTACTTGGGAGACAGAGGCAAGAGGATCTCTGTGAGTTCAAGGCCAGCTTGTCCTACAGATTGAGTTCCAGGTCAGTCAGGGCTACAGAGTGAAACCCTGTCTTGAAAACCTAAATAAATAAATAAATAAATAAATAAATAAATAAATAAATAAATAAATAATATTTTTGACTTATTATTTTATGAGTGTTTTTGCTTACATGCGTGTATGTGCGCCATGCAGCTGACTAGTGCCCAAAGAGGTCAGGAAAGGCATCAGATTCCTTGGAACTGGAGTTATAATGGTTTGTGGACTATCACATGTGCTGGGAACTGAACCCAGGTCCTCTGCATGAGCAGCTGGTGCTCTTAACCCAAACTAATTCTCCAGCCCCAAAACTCAGGGCTTTGTGAATGATAGCCAAGCTTTCTGCCAAATGAGCTATATCCCTGACCTTTGCCAATTCTCTCTCTCTCTCTCTCTCTCTCTCTCTCTCTCTCTCTCTCTCTCTCT